ACCACCACCACCACCATCATCACCATCATCACCACCACCACCACCACCATCATCACCATCATCACCACCACCATCACCACCATCACCACCTTCACCACCACCACCACCACCACCACTGGATTACCTACCAGTGGCCACCATGCCTGCCAGGCTTTCACATGGATTCAGGGATCTGGACTCCAATCCCCATGCTTGCCAGTCAAACACTTTATCCATTGAGCCGTCTCCCCAGCCCCTAACCAGACTTTTGGCCTCCTTTGTGCCAGCTGTCTTCCCTCTGCCTCGGCTGTGTGTTTGAACAGTGGAGGTGCCGTGCCATGGGATCAGAGTTCCTGCGCGGTCCCCCAAACCCTCTGCAGCTGTGTAGTGCCTGTAACCTGCTCTGCTAAATGCAGTGCCTGCCTCATAAAGGGGCTTTGTGGGCGTGGGTAACATCCGAGTTCATATAAAAGTACCCAGCTGCGGTGGGACAACGCTTTTGTACATTGCTTAATAAATAAAACGCTGATTGGCCAGTAGCCAGGCAGGAAGTATAGGTGGGATAAGCAGACAAGGAGAATTCTGGGAAGAGGAAGGCTGAGTCAGGAGATGCCAGCCTGCTATCCATGTAATGGCACACAGGTAAAGCCACAGAACACGTGGTGACATATAGACTAACAGAAGTGGGTTAGTTTACATGTAAGGGCTAGTCAGTAGGGAGCCTGAGCTAATGGCTGAGCAGTTTTAATTAATATAAGCCTCTGTGTGTTTACTTTGGTCTGAGCATCTGCAAACCAAGCGGGACACAGGAAAACTTCCAGCTACAGCCAGCAACTACTAAGTGCCATTTTAGTGTATGTGCATGCTATTGTAAAGGACTGTGGCCCTCTCTCTCTGACATTGATCATGACAGCAGTACCTTCAGGCATTCTTGGTCTGTGCCTTCATCCTCAGCATTGTGCAGAAAGGACAGGGTTTATCCCCTTGTGCCCCTTTCCTGTTGGTCATGCCTTCCTGCTTGGCTCCTGAGTGGTTGACTCAGATCGTAACTGCTCTGTCTACCCATAGAGCATATGGCACCGTAGCAAAGCACAATGGACAAGACTTGGACCCATCCAGGTAGCATTTAAATTTGGGCTTTGGTCATCAAGCTCCTGAATTTACAGGAATGAGGAGTGTCTACATCTTAGGCGCTGCTCCCTTGAGGGTAGGAGCTGGAGATCAGTGTGTTGAAACCTCCATCACCCGCTCATACTTTCATCAGGTCTTAAGAACAACAGTGTTTGCTTTCTGGTGTTGTTCTTGCCCTTTGGTGGGGAAAAGAAACTGAAGCTCGTGGGCTCACCTGGGAATTGGTTCCATATTCACTGCATGTTTGTGACTGAGAGACTTCCCACCACAGACCCATTTACTTCTTCTCTGAACTCCATTGAATCTTCCTGAACTTTCTAACCTCTCAGCATCACAAGTGGCATCCCAGTTGTCTCCAAATTAATGCTCACTGGGTACCTAAAATGGGTCTTGCTGGTTGTGATGGTCCACACATGTAATCCTTACACTCAAGAGGCTCAGGTTGGAAGGATTTTGAGTTCAAGACCAGTCTTGGCTACATAGGGAGACTGTTTCCAGAACTAAAAACATGCAGACATCAGAAGATTCTCAATCCTACCTACAGAATTCTCCAAAAATGTCTGACCACAGCTACCAAAAGTAGCCAGCAGGTGGCGGACTAGCCCCATGGTCCAGTGTATCCTGGCAGAACCGGCTGCCTCGAGGTCCGGCGCTGCTTCTCAGCTCCTCCTCCTTTGTGTGAAGGTCTCCAAAGGGGAGGAGGTTGTGAAAAGGGAAGAAGCCAGCTCCCACAGCTCCTTCCTTCCCTTTTGAGATGCTAATGAGGTGGGCATCTACTGTCTGGCTGAGAGTGACCCCACCCCCAGCCCCCACAAGCACGCTGCTGTCCCCTTCCTGACCCTTCTCAGACTGCGCCCTGCAAACTGTCTTCCTTTCCCTGGTCCTGGGCCAATCTGTCTCATGAGGTTTCCTTGCAAACAGAGGGTGTTGTGGGAACTCATGCCTTTTGGGGGAGTCCAGCTGGCAGATTATTTAAACCCGTGGGTCCCCTTAATTCCACCTAAGAACCGGCTAGAGCCCTGGGGAAGGGAACTTGCATTTATTTTATTTTTTCTTAATTTTCTTCCCACCTAGTCCCTCAGTGACAATACCCTTTGAGAAAATGGCATGTCGCCTTACAGCAACCATTAACAATCATCGACTCCTCAGGAAAAGCGGGGGTCTTGTGGTTACCTCCTTTCTCTAAGATGGAATGTGGGAGGGTCCAATCTTTGGCAAGTGTCCATAGCAGCGGTGTGTTCATGGTTACAGTAACAACGTCATATCTGGATGGCAATGCTTCATGACACTCCTCCCCACCCTCCTCCTCCTCAATTCTTTCCGCCCTCCCTTCTGTGATGTTCCCAGGCTTTGGCATGGGGAATGATATAGGTGTCCCAATTAGGGATAGATGCTCATCAATCACTTACTGTCAGCACTTGGACCAGATATTAATTTTGCATTAACCAACATCCTCTGCAGAAATGGAGCTTTTCTGCCCCAGGCTGAGAACAGCATTAGTCTATGGATGTAAACATAAATATTTAGAAGGTGGTTGACAGTCTGTCTCCAGAGAGAAACAGTAAAGGGATGTTCTCCCTTTGAGCCCGCGCCCTTCCCTACCACAGGCTTTTGGTCAGGTTTATAGTGTTTTGTGTTTTCTGAAGAGAAACTCAGATCCCCAAAGCCACCTTTGCTGCAAGGATTCAGAGCTGAGCACTTTAAATGCAGCTTGTAGAGATGAACCTAGGCAGGGCAAGGGTCTCTAGAGAGCTTCTGGCCACACTGCTGGAGGTCTGGTTTAGTGGCAGGTCTGTCCTCTGGGATGGGGCAGAGCAATCAGTCTTGGGAACCACAAGAGAAATGAGTGAGTGAATAAGTCAGTTTCAGGCTGTTGTTTTCAGCCTGCCACCCCTGTACTGGTGATGTAAAATTTCCAGCAGTTTCCCTGGCTTCAGGCTTCCAGTCTTGACCTTGTCTCCTGG